TTTTTTTTTTTTTTTTTTTGCTTTATTGATTTCATTTTATCATTTATGATGTACTTGGAATTTAGGATTTTATGAAATATGAAGGCTGTTTTGTTTTATACAACCTCTGAAACTGTAAAAGGGATGATAATATTTTTGAGCTATCGAATAAAGAATTGAGTACAACGCTTTTAGCGATATAAAGGTTTAGTCCGTATCTTTTTCCATAACTAGCGTTTCAATCCCTCCTTGTCCATATTAATGTATATATCATAGTGAGGTGCATTGAGTGTTGTCTGAGACCAAGTGTAACTAATCATGCATTTGTAGATCAGTAGTTATCTGGAATCGGCTCTTTCTCGCCAGGACATAGTTGATGCAGCATAGGACCAATATTTCGACTCTCTAGAGCACCCGATAGGTCAATAGCTAAACCTCAAGGGATAGTAGGGCTCATTGAGTGTTGCTTGGAGCTAGTTTGTAATTGGCCCCTTTATAAATGGGTAACGGTAACTTCGACGGCTCATCTTTGGAAGAATCATGCAACGTAATCCACACCAAGTCAATCGAAATACATATTGTTACCAATGGTATAATCAGTGGAATTAAACATCAAAAAGTCTTAATTAACCCTTGGGAATGTACAAATGCGAATTTTGACGAGAACGAGATAGATTGCGGTATAGGACTATTAATTGATGAATACTTATTGGGAGATCTATGAATATGCTGTAAAAAGCATATAGCACTTTGCACAAGGTTAAAAATTCATTGATTACTCTATTGGATTCATGACTTCACGTCAGAGACACCATAAGAACCGATCATTAGGCCAATAAATTTCATATTAGTAGAGGTCCAAGCAATCTTAATTATCATGGCATTCGTATTAACTTCTTCAGTTTTCAGTTACGGGTGGACGAAGAGTTACGGCCGGGACCCCCATCCCGTTTTACCCTGGGTTTGTTAAGGGTATACCTATTAGACCAAATTAGATGCTTGTATACGCAAAGCAAATGCGAAGAGTATCAATAGAACGTACTTGGCAAATGCCCGTGAGAGAGCCTTTTTACAGCTTATTTTCTGACTACCAATAAAGGAGTCAACAGTTACAGCAATCGCACGGTCAATATCGCGAGATGAACAATATTCGGATAGGCGCATTTTGCAGAATGCTTCAGCGATTCGCATAATTGACTCAAGATGTCGTACCTATTAATGGTAGGTTAGGGCTGCACAGAGGAAGAGGTAAAGTGACACTGGGGAAATTAGCAAAAATACGATAGAAAGCACATACCGTTATAGGATATGCACCAGTGGCCAGGCTTTCTCGTCTCAAATCCGCAAAGACCTCAGCGACTTTGCCTTCATCTATTTGATATAATTTTGGATGACATTTCTCCCGTGCGTAGACAATGTACTTGCGCAAAAGTTCTTGCGGGATGGCATCCTCTCTCTGTGCCTTAAACCTGGATTCAGGAGAGTCTTCTGACACATCTTCTTCCGGGTTCCCTTGTGCATCTTTAACTGGGTTCGAGCGGTAATGCGAATTCATCACAAATGAAGCCAAGCCTTCATCCACGTCTGGATTGACCATGTCTCTAACGACACAGAGGATATCGAAACGAGAAAGAATAGGCTCAGTGAGTTCGACGTTTTGAGAAAAAGGAAGCGTACCCCTATAGCGGCCCCCAATAGGGTTTGCAGCTGCAACAATTGAGCACCGGGCCTGGAGTGTGGTAACGATACCGCCCTTTGATATAGATATCGTCTGCTGCTCCATTGCTTCATGAATAGAGGTGCGATCTTGGTCATTCATCTTGTCAAATTCGTCGATTAAGCAGGTACCTCTATCAGCCAACACTAGAGCACCGCCTTCAAGGGTCCATTCACTGGTCATTGGGTCACGACGCACATTTGCAGTCAAACCGACTGCACTAGCTCCCTGCCCAGTAGCAAAGACTGCACGATGGGCAGTTTTTTCTATGTATTTTAGAGCTTGCGATTTGGCGGTACCTGGGTCACCAAGCAATAGTACGTTGATATCTCCACGAATGTTCATTTTCCCCTGAGCCACTTTGCTGACGCCACCGAACAGGGAAAGAGCGACCGCAGTCTTGACGTCCTCATGGCCATAGATACTTGGGCAAATTGAGGCAATGATCTTCTCAACGATATTAGGGTCCTTAGATAAGGCTTGGATTTGATGTTCATCTTCCTCAGTCAACTGAAATCCAGCCAGTTGGTCATGAGATTTGACAATGTGGTTAGCCTCGATAATTGTGCTGAAGACTGGTAATCCACTTCTTTGACTCATTGGAAGATCGTATTGGTTGCGGTAAATACCGGTGATTTCAACCTCATCACCGGGTTTGGCAGAATCAATCAAATCCGCCAAAAGAATAACATCGCGATGGCGCGGGAGTCTACCAGCAGGTACAGTCCCCGGAGATTCTTGAAGTGTTAATTTCTGGAAGTTACGATATTCAGTTCTCTCAGAGTTCAATGTGAAGGGCCCACGGCTTTGGCAGTTTTGACAAAACGAGATTTTCAGCTCACTACTTGACTCTTGCTCAAAAGGCCCAAGGGTGATGCCGCATTTGCTGCAGTTGAACATAATGTATTTCAGTTGTGGGAAAACACCAGTTCGTCTTGTAACCACACCGCTAACACAGATAAGGCAGTTGAGATGGCTTTGCCGAAGTTGTCGTAGGGTGTATTTCACGGGTAGGTTAGTGATTCGCACATGGATTTCGCTATGGATGCGATGATAGTCTCTGTAGTGCAGCAATGTAGCTTCCATAGCCACTTGGTCGAAAATTTTGAGCACTTCGGCTGGAGCATTCGCCAGGAAGTATGCGATGATCGATTTTGACTCGCTAAGGTGAGGATATGCGACTTCAAGAGACTCTGAGTTCTCTTCTCCGAGATTCTTCACAAGAGTACCATAGACTGAAATGCCGTCCTTGTCTGTGAACTCCGTTATAAAGGATTTGAATTCTCGGTAGATTGCCCTATGAATAGCTGGAGTCGCTACCCATTCCGTAAGATTATCGGCTTTGATGTCGGCCATATCTTCCAGAGTTAGGTCAGCTTCTGGGTCATCCATATCAGCGTCCTGGCTCTCCTCGTCATAATTGCGTCTGTGTCTGCGTGTCTGTAGCGATAGATCGGGAACACCATCAAAGTCGTCTTCTTGTAGAAAAGCAGCCGGCATTTTTCTCCTCCGAGCTATTTCACGGTCTCGTTTATTGAGCCGTGCCTCAAGTTGTCGTCTTGCTGCCGGGTCTAGTTCCTCTTGATCTGCGTCATCGATATCGACCCCCGCATAGCCATCATCGGGACGATTGGCATAATCTCTTTCGAAGTTGTCTGCGAAAAGATCAATGCCATCGTCATCCTCAGCCATCTCCTCTAGGTCGTCTATATCGGGGACAAACCCTTCCTCCGCCGCTATGTCATCTTCATTCTCAGCCTCATCAAGAGGCAGCATTGGCGGGGAGGAAGGAGGCGCTAAATTTGCTGATTAGAAACCATCGTAAGATAAAAGCCGTATTTCGACCGATCACAGGTTTAGCTTACGGCTCGAAGGGGGTGGTGCCGAGGAGTTATCATCAAGGCCGTCATGACCACGCTTCCTGCTGGTCAGATTTGTTCGCCCTCGGTTACCAGCAGAGTTACTTGGGCGTAAAGGAGAGCTATATAAAATCGGAAAGAAGTCAGAATTATCATGGGCCTAGCGTGAATTTAGCAGTCTTGGTGGGATGTAGGGGTTACCTCATTGTGAGAAATTCACTTCCTATAGCCTTCCGCAGTTAGAGCTTTACAAGTAAAATGAATAGCAACACCGTAAACTCAGGCCTTATCAGGAAGCGAAATATGTCTGCCCGGTCTTTGATATGGCTGGCGCTTTAGACGTTGTCTGTCCGATGCCGCGCGGGAGGGACGAAAAGCTCGTCGGTCGATTTGTTTGATACCAGAGGAAGCGCGCGAACGAGTCGCGTCGCGCCAAAAATAACCGCGTTATCCAATTTAACCTAAACGGGGAAGAAGTGCAAACAAGACAAACAGACACCAAATATTCTATACATCGCTCGCGACAAGAAAGAAACGCCCGAAGATGCGCAAAACGAAGGAGAAAGCCGAACAAGCGGAGGAATAACTGCTGCAGCTGATTGTCAGCCCAGCTTCCGATATCATACTGCTTGCTACTGCATGCTACACGGGACATGGATCAAAACCTGGCTTCTAATCCGGCGGATGTGAAGATAGATGGCGCTGAAGCTCCCCCAAAGCGACGCGAGAGCTTCGTATCTGAGAACTCTCAGACAGCATCTGAGTAAGTGAGAGCTATTGTCGCTGACGACATATTTCCTCAGATCAGAGTGAGGTTCTAATAGCTGCCTACTAGATTCATAAACGAACAGTTGAAGCTGGAGGCTGATGCGCGGGAAGCTTTGCCATATGTATGTCGCTAGAGCGTCCGCCACTTACCCTTGCAGGCTCGAAGACTAACACAGCTATATTCAGTCATTTGATACTTGCACGCGACCGCTTGGGGCTCTACGACAAAGTCTTTTTTCCTGCCTTACTTGCAATCCTCCCCCTGAAAACCCCAGTTCCCCCTATAATGCTGCTGGTGTGTGCTACTCCTGCTCTATTTCGTGTCATGGGGAGCACGAGTTGGTTGAACTATTTACAAAGCGCAACTTCACCTGTGACTGCGGCACTAGAAGGTTACCATCGACATCTCCCTGTACCTTGAGAGCAGACCCGACTACTGGCCAGAAAGGCGCCCACTCGGAGGATCCCACGCCGGATAATAAATACAATCAAAACTTCAGGAACAGATTCTGTGGCTGCAGTGACACATATGATCCTACCAAGGAGAAGGGGACGATGTTCCAGTGCCTTGGTATTGGCACAGTTGAAACTGGTGGCTGTGGAGAAGACTGGTGGCATCCCGAATGTTTAAGAGGGCTACCTCGTACTGCGAGCACTGATAAAGAAGAGGACGAAGACTTGCCTTTACCGCCCGGGTTTCCTGATGAAGATGACTTTGAGACATTTATATGTTATAAATGCTTGGACTCTAATCCGTGGCTAAAGCGGTATGCGGGGACACCGGGATTTCTCCCCCCAGTGTACCTCAAGGACACGGTGCTGGGAGATTCGGGCGAGGCACTACAAGACAGGGGGAACCATACTCCTGATCCACTCGCTATCCCGCGCAAAAAGAGAGCACTTGAAGATGAAGACTCTATCGAGCCAGGCGTGAAACGAGCAAAACAGGAGTCCTCAACGCATTTGGTTGAGCCCAACACTCAAACGACAAAGACGAAGGAAAAACACGATTTACTTCCATTGGATATCCCTGAAAGGCAATTTTCGCTCTTTGTCAAAGAAGACTTCCGTGATCACTTGTGTAAATGTGTGGAATGCTTCCCTAATCTCGAACCCAACCGTCAACTCCGTGAGGAAGAAGATGTTTACGAGCCTCCACTATCTGAAGATGGTGACGGACAGAATGCTAACAATAGCGCCGGAAGCATTCACACTGGGAGTCTCCTGGACAGAGGCGAAGCTGCGCTTAGCAACTTGGACCGAGTCAAGGCGATCGAAGGGGTCATGGTTTATAATCATCTTCGTGACAAAGTGAAGGAATTCCTGAAACCATTCGCTGAGAGTGGCCAAGCGGTTGGAGCAGAAGATATTAAATCCTATTTTGAGAAACTCAGAGGTGATGACCAAGCCATTCGAGAGGCCGGTGGGAAGCCCTCTACTTCTCGCGATGAAGACGAGGTAGAGGATGACAAAAAGGGAAACAATCGAAGAGAACAGAGTGGTAAGCAGTGACTCTTTACCAAGTTCATATCGAGGCTATTTACTAAGCAAATACTCTCTACGTGGTCTACAGGATACTGAGTCAAGAACCTTGTCTTTGTTTTCTCGGCTGTTGTCGATAAGTATCCCATCGGTACAGTGCGATGGCTTATTTTGACTTCTGGCATATGTATTTGTATCCTTTTTTTGCCTGGACGCTGGATCTAGTCATAGTCACGATATAATGAAATACTAAATACCCCTATGTCCTAAAGAGTCTATTGCTCCTGGATCTCTCTGCTTCCTACCCGGCAACTTTCTTTCTCCCCTAACTAACAATACAATCAGTGGTCCAGCAATGGTACATAAGACGATGGCCCACGGAACTATCAAATATAGCTTCGAACTCCCGACACCTTCCTCGTCACAGCATCTGAAAACGCCGCTTGGCTCAGCCAGAGATGCTATCGAAAAGCCTACCTCACCACAAAAGACTGCAGTTGTGCCCAGGATGGCCACTGGATACAGACAGGGATAGCGGTTT